ACTCACCTCCACCTCTCCCACCTTTCCTCTGCCCTCCAATGGCACATTTTTTCTTGATTAACATTAACAGAATAAAAAAAGGCTCGATCATTATATTACTTTTGTCTGAATCTAGTCTGTTTTTGTTACTTTTTGAAGGCATTGATATATCTCTCATATACCATATGTATATTAGATATAAAGGTAATTTAAATTAATATATTATATATAATAATATGGCATATAGCACATTTTCCTTTAGTTTCTTTGACCTCATAACATAAATGTACCAGTAATCAAAATCCATTTGACACTTATATCGAGAAGAGAGAAGTCTCTTAAATCATGGAGGAAAACATTATGTTTTAAAAGCTTAGGTATGATGCATCATTTGTTTCAAAACATGATTGCCTTCATCTTATTCATTTATGTGGCCCTTCAAGATACACATTTTAATAATAAAAATAATGTGATCACTAAAGTTTCAGAGAAGCCAATGTTATTTTAAAAAAAAAACATTGAGTGATATCTAGGTCTACTTACAGAGCTCAAAATCTCAAAGCTGTTTCTACCTCAACTTTAGTTGTTATAAATCACAGTTTTGCCCCCTAATGATCCTGTTTAAGCATCAATTGAGCTTTTCATTTCTTAATAAGAATAGGTACTTTAGGGCTATCTTCCACATCTCTTGATTTTCAATCCCAGAAAATGAGAATAGTGTATTCCTTTGGGTATATATCATTAGGAAGGAATATGAACAGAGAGAAATATAATGAATTAGTACTGGTACAGCACTTCCTTACTAATGAAGCATGAATATAATGATATGAGGTGGTAAAGAACATTAACAAAAGCAAGTTGATTTTCAAAAGGTTAGACAGGATTGGTACAGATCAGAATTCAGAAGGATATAATTATTCAAGACAGAGTTAATGAAATTCAAATGAAAAGGCAAAATCTGAATATGAGTGCATGGATTTTGCATAAAGAAGAGAATATGAACATGATACTTATAATTACACTGATTTTTAAGTAACAGTCTGAATTTTTTATTACACCAAACTGAAAATCATTCAATAGATATAGTTTATTCATTATGGACTTGCATGACAATCAAAAGGACATGTTTTAAGGAGTAGATAATAAACTATATCTCCAAAAATCTGACTCTTGATTAAATTTTTAGAAGCCCTAACCAGTTTGGCTCAGTGGACAGAGCGTCGGCCTGCGGACTGAGGGTTCCCAGGTTCGATTCCGGTCAAGGGTTTGTACCTTGGTTGCAGGCACTTCCCCGGTGGCAGGTGTGCAGGAGGTGGCTGGTGGATGTTTCTCACTCTCTGTCCTTCTCCCTTCCTCTCTGTGAAAAATCAATAAAATATTTTTTTTTTAAAAAAGACTTCATCTTTAAAGGCGGGGGTGGGGAAGAAGAAAAATTGGTTTCTAGAACCAGATACAAACTCTCAGTTAATTAAAAAGTTCTGGATTTAAATAGTTGTCATAACATTCTCCTAAAAAAGATTTCCATTAAAATATAGACAGAAATGCGTTTTCTCTTAATGTGCTAATGAATATTTATAATGAATAAATAGATACATGAATCTATATGTAATAAAACAATCTATGACAGATCCATGTAGTCATGAAAACTCAATAAATGAGAAGCCAGAGTACAATGTGCTCAATCTCCTAGTTCTGGTTCAGGCCTGAAGCTGATGTCAGATCTTAATTTCTGAAACATAGAACTCCAATCTTCAGAGCTGTATGGTGAGAACTATTACTAAATAAATCTCATTTTGTATGTAAAACTTCTCTATGCAAAACAAAAACTATACACAAACACTGAAGAATTAGAAAATTGGGTTTTAAATTATATTTCAGTAAAATTAAATCCAACTGTGAATTTATTTACATGTCCCCTTTATTGTATTTAACATTTTAGATTAGTTTCTTGCTATTTATAATTCATAATTATTATATTTGTAAGGCACTAATATGAATTTAAGACAGCGGAGAGCATCCTAAATATAGATATTGAAGATCTGGGAAACTACATGTAAAAAAAATATAAAGGAGATATAAAGAACTTAGAATCATTTTTCTTCTATGAGAAAATGATAACGGATATCAAAACCTTTTGGAACTCACAGTGATTTTTTAAATGAGACTCCTATGTTTTCTAAATATTTTAAAGATATGTCTCATTGTAAAACAGCTCTTTTGGTTAAACAAAATTACATGCATATATACAGTGTACATACATACATACATATGTAAAAAGATTCTAGTATTTTACCCAATTCTGTCCCCAATAACACAAAAACACTATTCTATAGAGACTTACAGATATAAAATGCATGCAATTAAAAAGAAAGGTAATTGCACCATTTTAGAAAAATGATATAGAAAATATTCTTATTTCAGATAATGTAGAACTATCTTTCCCTCTGGAATTGAAACAGCTGATGCACATAATAAAGAGTGTGTAATCTCAAAGGGAAGGCAGAGGAGAGTAGGTGGAAGAATTCAACCAAAGAACTTGTATGGATATATGCATAATCCATGGACATAGACAATAGTGTGGTGAAGGTCTAGGGCGCGGGACAGGTGCGAGCTAGAAGGTATTAATGGAAGAAAACGGAGGACATATATAATACTTACAACAATACAGTTTAAAAAATAAAATAGAACTGACCAAATCTGGTAAAAAAGAAAAAAAATATGAACTTGGAAATCTTTATTAAGAACTATAGTAACCATTCTAAAGAAATACATGAAAGCCACAGTAAATTTGTTTGACCTGTGTTGTTAACTCTGCTGGTTCGGGGTTATTGTTAAGCCTAACCTGTCAGTGAAAATTTAAAAAATTCATATGGCCTCTTTACTTATTTTTCTTTTAAATTGGTGAAATGGTTGGTTTGAAATGGAGAAATTGAGAATTTGAATTTAAAATATCTATGGTTAGATCTATGAATTGACCTCATCTAACTCTGGCTCCAAATTCTACTATTATTTTAAATGGAAAATTAGAAGTGCATGTAGATTATCAATCCATTGATCATGAAGAAATATGTCAGGTGTTTGATTATATGCACATTAAACCAAACTTTTTAAAACGTATCATTATACAATTTAAGCTAATTTCTGAATTCTATAAATAAAGACATCTAAGTTAGAATTATTTTCACATTATATAAGAATGAGTGGCCCTGTGCACAAAATTCATACACATTAAAAGCGAATTAATTCGGAGATATTTTAATATTTCTAATTGCACTTTCTCTATAATAGAAGTATATGAAATAAAATAAAATTAGTAAAATGTATATGAAAATCTCCTTCCTGTCAGAGTCCAGAGGGTGCTGCAGGAACCAGAGTCAATTCCCTGCCTACCTGCATATGCTTTCAAATCTTAGGAGACCCAGACCTGGCCATCCCCACTCTCGCCAAGCCCTTCTGGATGGACAGTGCAGCTTCAGGTCCTTTGGTGTGGCCTGAGTCTCCTGGCATGGCACCAGGCAGTGGGTGTGGCCTGAGGTGCCCTGTCAAGCCCCATTGGGCTGGGGACACAGCCTGAGGTTCCCATCAAGCCCCTCTGGGTGGAGGGCATGGACTGAGGTCCCCTGCCCAGGCCAGGCATTATGCAGCCTCAGGTCCCTGCTGTTGGGTCCTTAAGTGATGGTATCCGGACTAATTTGAATATTATGATACTATTAGATAGATTGAGTAACAAAATCCTAGATCTGAGAAATTAAAAAGAAAATATAAATGGACCAGCATATAATTTCACTCATCTTTGTGTAACTTCAGTCTGAAATCCTAAACTCCATTTAGTTATATTACTGCAAAAGTGAGGATGGTCTTGTTATAAAGGGTGTGTAGTAATAAATAGCTGTGTTATCATCTGCTACTGCATCCCTCAGCTGACCCAATCAACAGTGAGGTGACAGTTGATTAATTCAAAACAAAGTTACTGGGAAAGTAATTTCAACTGCAAGAATTTTACTACTTATATATACTATATTCAGAAGAGAGCAGAGGTCATCTATATTTTTTAATTTGCATGTGAAATAGTATCTATTTCTTGCTCTTATAAGGAATAGGGAAAGAGGTTCTACTGATTAGGTCCAAAAGAGCTCTGAGCTCCAAATGCTATCACATCTAGCACTTGAATGTCACGTAGGGAAGTAAGATGCAGGTGTAGAGGCTGATGCTGCCTTAGATTTTAGGGCTTTCTGGAGTTATTAAAATGTGAATTCAAGCCTATCTGGTGTGGCTCAGTGGTTTAGCATCAATCTATGAACCAGAAGGTTATGGTTTGATTCCTGGTCAGGGAACATGCCTTGGTTGTGGGTTTGGTCCCCAGTAGGGGGCATGCAGGAGACAGGCGATCAATGATTCTCTGTCATCATTGATGTTTCTTTCACTCTCCTTTCCACTCTAAAATCAATAAAAATATATCTAAAATGTGATATCTACCCTCAGTCATAATAATCTATTACCTTAATTAGCAGCTAATTTATTAAGAAACTAGCGTTAAATAAAGGACCTGTAATTTGGAGGAGAGGGATGCTCAATATAAAGTACATACCAGCCAAAAATGCTTTGCTGTCCTTGTGCCTCAACCAAGATTAGGGAGAAATGTATAGAATAGGTTCTTCGATGTGAATACCACATATGTCTACATTCTACCCTATACTGAGTTTTCAAGGAACCTAAAAGTTACATTTAAAAAAGTCAGTTGTGAAAATTATCCTTTTATTGGGGTAAAATTACCCTTCTCATGATATTATGGCTCTTGGCATTTCATTCTATATTCATGGTGCTAATGTATATCTTTATTATAAAAGGTTCTATCACTTTTTGGAAGAAGATGTTATATAAATAATAACATTTTACTCGACATGCATTCTTATTCACTTTCAGCTTTCTGTCAGCTATAAACTGGAACCTGTATAAATTCAATAGATGTCTTTTCACTATTAGGAAGCTAAAAGAATTGTTCTTTTGTATATCTATACCAGCACACAGTCCGTGAAGAATCGGTGATGGTGATGACTGAAGACATGCCTTTGGAAATTTCTTATGTGCCTTCAACTTATCTGACTGAGATCACTCATGTCTCACAAGCTCTATCAGAAGTGGAACAACTTATTAATGCTCCTGACCTCTGTGCTAAAGATTTTGAAGATCTCTTTAAACAAGAGGAGTCGCTGAAGGTAAAAGCAAAGCACTTTCATTTAGATTTTACAAGATGATCATATTGATCACTGGCAGTACCAAAACAGTTGACTTACTAGTAAGTGTATAAAGTAACATCATTTTGACTTATAAATGATATTCTTAAAATACTTTAGAGAATGCTTAGCTTTAGAAATTTGGGGTGGAAAGTGAAACATAAATCTAAAGAGGTATTTTATAATATTTAATGTTGAGAGACCTCCTAAAAAAATAATGGTTTAACACACATTCATTCAAGGCAGAAAGGACTCACCAATAAACAAGTTTTAACACACACACACACACACACACACACACACACACACACACACACACAGAGCATTGATAAAACAGCTTATTCCCAACTGATACATTTCTTTCCTGTCTTCTCTTATAAAAAAAGAAATAAGATGAGGTTTTAGATTACATCTATTATATATTGTTTCAGTTTTATATTTTCACTTAAATATGCATATTCAATTTCAAATTAATGTCAGTATAAATACTATACTATATAGAATCTAATTGAATTGAAAGCAATAAAATATTTTCTTGAAAATTACCAGGCAATGGCTACCAACCAAATCTTGCTTTTTCCAAACTACCAACTACAAGTTCTAAATTCCAAACTAAGACAAAACATGATAAGGAAATAGGCTTTGAGTTTTAGAGTGAAGTATCTGAAGATAAATTAATATAGCATCAAGGAAATGTCCATAATAATGTGTATTTCAAGATAATTTTTGTGATCATACATTTCACACTTAAAATGAAATATTATAGAATATTCAGAGCCTGGTATTTTCCAATGCAAATAGCATAAAATTATAAACAGAAGATAAGTTTGCTCTTAGCAGCACATATTAGCCAAAGTATTTTATACTTTAGATTATTTTTTGAAAGCTAATTCCATATCACACATTGATTTGCATAAGTACACAAATAGATAAAGCTATTTGTTTATTTTGGAAATCAGGGTTGCAATATCTTGAATGACTTGAGTTTTATATCTTACATTATATCAACTAAGCTCTAAAATTACACACTAAAGTAAAATAAGAAATGCATGGCACTCTGGAATCATTCCATCCACTTCAGTATACTGCTATTTCTTATTCTCTTTGAAGTAAAAGTCAAATGGCTGAGTACAGTGAGGAAAAGAAATCAAATCAATTGATAAAGGAGACATGCCAGCCCTTCTATTATCCACAATAACTAAATCCTCATGACAGTGCAGTTTGTAAGTTCATCATTGTCATTCAACATGTAAATCACCCCTAATGAGCTAATTAATATTCATTTATTTCCATGTTCATAGACATATGGGTCAGGAGAGCAGTGACCCCAAACTTATTAAGTTGCCAATTGAGTATCTTTGTTTTTGTACATCTTAACCTAGCACACTCAGAATGATGCGCTCCTGGCTATACTCATAGCTAATCATTTGTTCTTCCAGATATATTTAATAATGTTGTAGCTGACAAGGATGCATAAGGACATTATATATAGTGGTTTTTAAAAAGGCATTGTGAGTTTAATTTAACTGGATTATTGAATGCTCATTAGATGTAGTTTTGGGCATAACTCCATGTCACTTCCAACAAATCTCCTGCAACAGACAAATGGGCTTCCTACCTTTATGGGCTTTTTGAAAGGGGATAGTTTTGATCTGTCTTTTCAATGAATATGTAATTCCTCTTAAAGGCATTCATCTTTGTCATTATCCAGTAGTAAAAATAGAAAAGAAATGAATAAATTGTACTGTTGCTGGTTGGGGAGGTTTGAAATGAAATTGTGATTGATTTTATTCCTGACAGATTTACATGAATCAAATTATAGAACTGTAGTAGGTATTGCTGTAGTTTAACATACATATGTTTTGCAAATGCAATGCAATGCAAATGACATGTGATAAGTTAAAATAATTACATTCTGAACAAAATATAACTGACATAGCATATATATTTTTCACAGATGTATTGAATTGGAAAGCTATCTAATCATCTTGACAATGACTAAGCATATAAACACCTATTTACATACAGAAATCTGCATTTAATAGATAATACACTAAATAGCTAAGGCATAGTTAGCAATGAATGAGGAACACATACCTAAGTAACATTTATTCTTATGTCAAAGTCAATATTAGTACTGTGAATCAATTCATTGTGAATGTAAAAAGTGCATAACATTCATTACATAAATGGTAGTACCATAATTTGGAAAAAATATTTTTTGAAAGTTTCAATGAATATTAGAAGTTAACTTGCACTTCATTTTTAAGAAAAGTGGGTTGTCAATACAAATTGACAAAATATAATTACTATCCTAAATAATCTAATCTTGTTTTAAAGTATTTCATATGAAAGTATGAACATAATAAAAGAGTAGGATGGTGGTTTCCAAGGGGATGGAGCAAGGAGTTAACTGGGAGTTGCTGTTCAATGGTATAAAAGTTTAGTTATGCCCGATGAATTAGTTCTAGAGAACTTCTGTACAACATTGTGATGTAGTAACAGTAATGTATTGTATACTTAACATTATTTTATGAAGGTAGACCTCATGTTCTGTTATTTTCCAAATAAAAAATTAAAAAGTACAAATAATAAATTATAAACAGACATCCTTAGCATCACAATTTTTAAGTTTCCATAAGTATTTCCCCTTTAAAAAAAGCTTTAAAAACTTAAACTCTTGCCCTAGACAGCTTGGCTCTGTGGTTAGAGCATTGGCCTGTGGATTGAAGAGTCATGGGTTAAATTCTAGTCAAGGGCACATACCTGTATTGCAGACTCAAGCCCTGGCCACAATGGGCATTCGTGCTGAAGGCAACCAGTCCATGTGTCTTTCTTACATTGATGCTTCTCTCTATATATCTCCCCTCCCTTCCATTCTCTCTCTAAAATAATAATAATAAAATAAAAAATAAAAATAAAAAATATCCTCAATTGAGGATTAACAAAACAAACAAACCACCACCACAAAACTCTTGTCATGAAAGAAGAAATGCGTCATTAAGAGGCCCAATAGAAATGATTTATTGTAATGCCTCTGTATACTGAAAGCTTCAGTTCCATCAGATTCTATTGGGGCCTCAACTAAACCCCCTTCCCACTGAGCATTCCCTGCATTTTGATTAGCAGCTGCCAACTGCAGGTTCCTGAGACTCTTTGCCTTAAGGCTTTCTCTAGCTCTGCAAACCCATAAAATTCAGGGAATTAAGGCTCTGCTTCCCCATATCTCTCAATGATCATCCAACAATGAAAGATGGCTTTCGGTAGATAAATAACACTGCTCACTAACATCTTCAGTAGGGGTAAGTCTGAGGCATGTTGTACACTCTGACCTGAAGTTCCTCATTGAAGACTGCAAATTCAGGATCAAGACCTTATTGTACACAGTAGAAACCTTTCTCATATTACACTTTTCTGGATTCTTCTCTTAACCCTTCCCACTCCCTTACCATTGCTTCCTAAGACCATTTCCAAGCAAATCACTTACATGCACATTCTACTCTTAGAATCTGTTTCTAGGGGAACCCAACCTAAGACAAATTTGAAAGAAATAATGTCATTTGTACTGTTTATTCAGCACATGCCAACAAAAATTCTGTTAACATTGATAAAGGTAAAGTTTAGGACAAAAATAAGAACATCACTTCAAATAAGGATGGCAACTAGGTTTTACGAAAAGGTAAAGGGAGTCAACTTGTATACAGTGCTTAGGCACTCTTAACAATGTACCTATATTGACTCATTTAATCTTCCCCACAACTCTATGAAGTATCTTAAATTATTATCCAAATTTTATTACCCAGAAATGAGTGAGATCATGTGGTATTTTTCTTTCACTGTCTGGCTTATTTCACTTAGTGTAATGCTCTCCAGTTCCAGCCATGTTGTTGCAAATGGTAACACTTCCTTCTTTTTATATAGCAGGAAATATTACATATGAAGAAACTGAAGAAATAGAAAGTAACTTGACAAAGTTGATACAACTAGTGTTGGTATAGCAAGGACTTGAACCCAAGCAAAGTAGCTCATAATCCATGCTTGTTAACTAGTATACTATACCACCTTCCATGAGGCTATTTCTTGAGTGTTATATTGAGCAGAGCAGGGGTGAATTTTGGCAAAACATGGTAGAATATTGAGGCTTGCCATGCCCAGGTCATTGGGAAATGCCCTGGATTCAAATTCCATCTTAAACCATGCCAACTTAAAAAGATTAATAAAAGGAAGAAAGGAAAAGCAGGAAGGCGGATGGTAAAGGAATAAAGAAAAAAGGAATATGGAAGAAAAGAAAATGTAGGAAAGAAAGAAATCATACATTCATCATTCAATTGTCTCATCTAAACTACTGATAGTATAAATGCTCTGGTTAAGGTGGATAATTTTTTTTTGTATCCAAGGGGGTAACATGAAGTGTGGACCTATGAAGAAAGCTCACATGTGTTGATAGGACATTTGGACCCAATGTGGAGATTGGATGGGCTCAATAAGTAAAGGCAGCCTTTGTTCAACCTCAACAGCACTGGGGATAGCTTGTTGTGAGTTTAGAAAGACAAAGATTGTAAAACAAAATTGCTCAGTCTTCTTTGACTGGTTCAGTTGTTATGTATGACCCCTGAGACCTAAAAATAATTGTTAGGATAAGCTGCTAAACTAAGGAGTGGGGATTCATATATTCAAAAATATTTATTAAGCTCTTACTGTGCATCAAGCATTGTTGTAAATGCTTAAAATTAATAATAAAAAATGATGGACTCTTCACTCATACAGTTTTTATTATAGTATATAGTGGGAGAGCAAATATAAGCAAATAAATAAGTAAATATTGTATACTTAAAGATGAACCATGTTATGAAAAAAACATATACAGAGTTGGGTAAGAAAGTTTATGATTACAAAAGGGACAGGAGTACTTGGAATGGCAAGAGTTGGGATTGTGATTCTAAATAGAGTGGAAAAGACATTGGGGCAAAGAAAGTAAAAGA